GGTCAAAACAGCTAACTCAATCAGCCATTCAAATCAGCTTACATAAACCGCCAACAGCCAACTGCTAGTATCCAAACAAGACCATTTTTCGACTTATTCTAGTGTTTTGATCTTCTATTTTTTTTCCACCACCCAACTTTAAAATTTCAAGCAAAAAGACCAAGCCATAACTATGAGACACGTGATTGATATTTGAGTTAGAGAATGAAGTAATTTTACTTTTTTATGAAAACTAAAAAAAGGTAATTTATTCTTCAAGTCATTATCTCAAAAGTATATTTAGATATTACACAATATGATTGTATAAGTGAGGTGGTATGTGAAATGTTTTTGTAAAAAGAGAGTAATTGTTGAACTAATAATGAAATTAGTTGATTGATTTTTTTAAAAATTTGTGAAATCGATTTAATTTGTGGGAGTAACTCTGTAAATTTTTCTCTCTTTTTTTCTATTGTTGGAATTGGCAACGAAGTCTCTTTATTTTCTACTCCCTACTTTTCATTATTTTATGTGATCAAAAACCACATCTAAGGGTTTTGTGGACAAAAATGGTACGGTGTAGCCATAAATGATTACAAAATAGTATGGTACGGTGTGATCAATAATTCTTCCGTCTTATAAAACATTCATTATTTTGATTTTTAAAAAATTTAAGAGCAGTATATATTGTATTGATTTTCCAAAAATATTTTTGAATATGACAGGTAATAGTAGATGTGATGCGTAGATTAGTAGTGAAAAATTTTGATATGATAGATAGGTTAAGAATTAATAGGATTAAAAGTAATTTGTTAATAGAAATGAGAAAAGTTTTTTGGGACGAATAAAAAACAGATTTGTGGGACGGTAATTGTTTTTTATTTAATCTTCTAATATATTTCTCCCTCTCAAAATTTTTTTATAAGATAAATCAAATGAAATTATTTTTATTTAATTTACATTTAAATTTTCATCAAATTTGACTAAATAAAATCAAACATGACAAATATCCGGATCGATGGAGAATTTTATACTCCGTATAATTAATATATCTTGTAATTTTATTAAATAAAATATAGGTTAAAAGTAAATTTTGATTGACTATAAAAAATAAAAAATGGAACATTTTGAAATAGGAAACTTCTAATTTAAAAAAGTAGAGGGGCTTAAAATTCACGTAATAAGTAATTACGTATATGTAGAATAGGGACTAAATCTTTTTTTTTTCTAAATCAGTGCATGGAAAATATATTGGAAAGTACTAGCTCCCTATTAAGTTTAGAAACAAAAATTATATTTCTAAATATTATTTGTAGTTTTCGTACATCATAATATATATCATATACACACTATATATGTAGTATTGACGAGAGAACTATTGGTCTAACGTGAACGAAAAGAATTGAAACAAGAAGGGAAAAAAAATGTCTGGACAATACCAACCCCTAATTTACCCATACAACAATATCCCAATTCTTCCGCCCCCGAGATTCCGGCCGTCGCCGTCTCCGCCGCGACCGTCCCCGTCGTCGTTCCTTTCGAACGGGTCGATGACGGTGGCGGTTGTAGTCGTGGTGGCGGTGTTGGTGCTGGCCGTTTTGGCGTGCATTGCTAACAGGAGGTGCAGGGAGAGAGGCGGCGGCGGCTGAGGGGACATGGAGTCGTCTATGCATGCAGCTGTCTAGCTAGTAGAGTAGCTCATACATTTTTCATGGTCTTTATTAATTTATTAATTACATGAACTTGTTTAATTTTGAAGATCATCATCATATTACTCTAATTTATTTAATTACTACTTTACTTTATTTGTTAAAATATTATGCTAGATCGAGTATTTGTTTCGTTTTAATTTTTTTGTAGTTGAAATTGACAAGCTTTTACCATTAATAAAACAAAATTTATATTTGATATTGATAAACGAATAATTTTATTAAATTTATCTTGTAAAATACTTTCAAACTATTATTTTATATTAGCTCTGAACAATTCATATATCATGTACTCCCTATGGAATATGTCTTAATTTATTTGTCTCTTTTAGTTTGCAATGTTTGACTCAAAGTATTTTGAAAATAATTTATTTGAAAATTAAGGTAATAAAATTAAAAATAAAATTTACATATTTAAAAGAAGTACATCAAAATTTCTACGAAACATTAGGTGATGAATTATACTCCCTTCGTCCCAGAGTATTTGTCCTACATTTACACCAAAAATTGTACCCCATTTGTACACCGCAGTTATACACAAACATTTTGATGGTTTACACCGACACAAATGTTGGTGCGTTAAAAAAATTTACACAGACACAAAGTGTTGGTGCGTAAAAAAAATTAGTTTTACATCAACACAAAGTGTTGGTGCGTAAAAAAAATTAGTTTTACACCAACACAAAATGTTGGTGCAAACCTGCGGGGTACAAAGTGGGGTACAAAAGATTAAGGTAAAAGTAGCTTTATCCTAAAAGGAATGTTCGATCAGTGTTTACCTATAAATAGCTATTCCTATGGCCTATTTCGGTAGAACAAGTCAAAGGCACTACAGTCTTCTTAAAGAAACCCTTCATATTCGTTCTTTAATGTTTATGTCTTATCTAATTAAATTATTTTTTTTGTTTAAAATAACTATAATCTGAAAGAGGTTCTTTCACGTACGATTCGTAAGCCTATCAAGTACTTTTGTTGCATAAACCAATACCAATCCTCCTACAGTTTTGAATGGATTTTATAGGTGTAAAATTAAAAAATAAGTATTTTTCAAGTAAAATAATCCTAGCTTTTTTCGGACAATGGTCAGTGGTGGATTTAGAAAATGAAAAGAGTGGAGGGAAAAAATAGCAGCGTGGGGGTGCGAGGGCACAACCCTAAATTTTTTTAAACAATATAAAATGATAAAAATAATATTAAATTTCATCTCAATATTTTAAACTACTATGTATAATTTAATATACACACACAGATATATATATATATATATATATATGTATGTATGTATGTATGTATGTATGTATGTATGTATATATATATATATACATATATATATACACATATATACATATATATATATATATATATATATATATATATATATATATATATATATATATATATATATACTACCTCCGTCTTAGAGTATTTGTCCACTTTCATTTTTACACACCATCCAATGTACTTCTTTAATCCATTTTATCTTGTAATTTGTATATTAAAAAATTATAGAAATTATATATTAATAATCTATATGTTAAGACAAATCAAACAAGATCACACATGACTATATTTAGGCTTATACATTGAGAGAATTTGATGAATCAAAGTGCTTAGATGAATACTTCCAAAAGTCAAAAGTGGACAAATATAGCGGGACGGAGGGAGTATATAACTAAAGCTAAATTTCAATTAAGAGTGTAAATGCTTTGATTTTTTAAGCAAGCGAGGTAGCTTTGTCAATAATGAAAAAGAGTACATCTATTATTTTTTTTGGGAAAAAAGACAATTAAAATAATTTATAATGATTAAAAATGACAAAAAAAATATGTTTCCACAACATGAGATGTCAATCCATTCGCTTGTCACATGCTGAATGAACTCATTTTTATTGATTAGAATGTTCCACGTCACGGTGTGACATTTCATGTCATTACTTGTCAATGTTGATGCTCTTATTAGTTTTTGATTTTTTTTAAAAAAAAATTAGCACGTTAATAAAAAGAATTTAAAAGCCACTAGACCACCAATCCCAAATAAGTGCATCTACCCCTGGAAGGGCCGAGTTGAACGTTAGGGCATTTGGGATGGGGGTTTGAGGAATGCATATTACGGAGTACTATAAAATAAATGGAGAGAGAGAGGAGGAGAAGCTATGTGTTTTAGAGGAATGCATGAGAGGGGGTGCATTGTAAATGGGTGGGCATGAAAGTCGTCTAAGATCATGATCTATTCATATTCATCTGATCTGAATGATTCTGATCTAATTGAAATAAGTTTTGATCTAATCTGGTTTAATCTAATTTGATGTGAATATAATTATATTTAAAATTATTTCTAATTTGATCAGATCCTAATAAAAAAAGTACTTCTTTTGTCTCACTTGAATCTTTATATAAACTATTCACTGTGTCAAACTTTATGTACTTTATTTCCCTATTTAACGTTACTCATTTGACAACATAATATAATCATGTCATCTCTAGTTTTGTAGATAATTTGATGTAGTTTTTTAATATTTTTTTTTAGTTTTACACCTATAATCAAATAAATTAGTGAAAATAAAGTTGGTCAGACATCGTAACGCGGATCGGAAAAATTCAAATGGAACCGAGGGGTAAGAATATATGAATAATAAACAAAAAAAAGGTGTACTAGCATTGCCCTTTCAAAAAGAAGAGAGTACTCAAGAGTAAAAATTAGGATTAAGTTATTTGTACACCAAAACTTGTACTCTAGTTTGTACCTCAAAGGCATATACTGGCATTTTGTTCTTGTGTGATGGATTACATTGACAAAAAATTTGAATGCAATTTTTTTAATTAAACTAACATTTTGTACCAATGTAAACCGTTAAAATATTAATATACTCCGTATTTATTTGGGATACACTTCTTGATGTACATGATTGTAAAAATTACTCCCTCCGTCCTATAATGATCTTTCCGGTTCGCAAAACGAAGAAAAATCTCAAGTTTTTTCAATCTATTTTATTTAAATATTGGTATAGAAATAAAAATAAAACATACATATTTAAAAACTACATCAAAAGTTCAACAAAACAAGTGGTGACAAGAATATTTTATTTTATCATATATACCATGAAAAAACACAAATAAATATAAATTCCCGTGAAGTTGGAATATAAACAATATAGGAGTATATTGTTACTTCCGTACATTACCCGGTCAATTCTACCCTATGTATGTGCAATCAGAAATGGAGACAGAGAGTACAAGATGCTTCTGACAAAGATTTTTCAGCTGATATAGACGATTCTCTTTTGTGAAAAAATCAGTTAAATCTGTTGTCCGCAAGTGTTTCTTGCCATAATCAGTGCGCCATTATTATACAAAGGCACTTGCAGAGCTCTTTCTTCCCTTTCCTTTCCCTGCTCAGAACTTGAACTGAGAACACTGCCATGGAAGCTCCTGACATTTCGCTGCAATGGTTGAGGCCACTTATAGAGTCCAAGACTTGGGATTATTGCGTTCTCTGGAAATTGGGCAATGACCCATCAAGGTAAATGTCTAATTCCAATGCTCTTTTTTCAGTGGGAAAGATCATATGATTGGCTTGCATTTATGGTGTTTGATGATTTGCCTTTGTGAGTTTATCAGGTCCATTGAATGGGCTGGGTGTTGTTGCTCTGGTGCATATGGGATTCTGGGCAAACTGAACAAAGAAAAGAGAGGGGAGCAGGATTTGACCGGGTTGTGTCGGGATGTTCATATTCAGCACAATGTGGGAACTATGGCTTGTGAAGCTCTTGCTTCTTTTCCTTATTCGATTCCTTTGTGCTCTGGGTATGTCTGTCTTCTTCTTTTTTAGTACTTGCTTCTTTCCGAGCAAAAAACGAAGAAGAAAACTTCTCATAATCTCTCATTTGATGGTACTAATGGCAATAGGAGTAGAGGAGAAGTAGTTGTGATGAATGAGTCCAAATGGTTAATTTATGGAGATGCATCTGGTTCAAAGGCCTTGGATGTGAGTTATTCCTCTTTTCATTTTCCTTCTGTTGGAGTTCCCACATCGGAAAATAAAGATGAGTATCACTTGCATATATTGAAGGGTGAAGCCCTACCTATAAGCTTAAGCTTTTGGGTTAGAATTGTGGATCCCGACTTTATATGCAAGTGGTTAATTTCACCCGACACTCTATCCGTTGTTATCGGCCCGCCGGAATTTTAACACCTTCTATTGTGCTTCTGTGAAGTAGTAATGTTGATATGTGGAGTAATGTAGTGAATCAACATGTATAATGATTTTGCGATCCACCGAAAAGCCAACTGCTGTCAAATCAAAGCCGATTTCATGTTTTTGTATTGAATGAGAGTCGGGCTCTGTTTGGTTAAGTTTATTTGGCTGAATCTGCTGATTTTTTCGAGATGAAAATCTTTCAGCGAAATCAAGTGCTACTTATTCTCTTCTGAGAAGCATAATATGCACAGTTAAACCGAATAATTCGACCAAACGGTGCCTACGTATGACTAGATGAAGATCGTCATGGAATATTTTCTTTCCTTTCCCAGGGGTTCGATAGTGGCACTCAGGCTCTGATCCCTGTGGTTGGTGGTCTAGTTGAGCTCTACAATTCAAAGATGGTAACAATCTTTCTTGACTATTCCCAGAACAAATTATTTATTAGCATTAAGCATTCAAGGAATGGAAATATCTCACACCAAAACCATGTGTTGTGTTGTTTCCTTTTTATATGTAGATTCAAAAAGATCAGAAGACAATAAACTTTGTTCAGAATAGGTTCAAACAGCCGAAAGATCTTAGTGCAACTCCCAAGGAGAGCCAAAGTAGCTGTTTGGCTCCTATTCACTTTTTTGGTTCACAGTATCTGTCTCAAACATCTGAACCCTACAGTAACCCAAGCATCCATGGATCATCTACCAGCTCCACTCCTGTTAGTACCGAACGTACGCAATGTGATTTTCCGTTTGACCAATCAGTTGACCTGTTCGAGAAGAAGCTGAAACTGCACTGTAATCAGTTCACAACCTCAATGAAAAGCAATGATTCTTCCCTGACTTGCATAAAGAATGACATTTCTATAAACGGGATCACGGCTGGCCAGAAAAGGCAAAGAGGGCAATGTGGTGCGAAGAATCTTGCGACAGAGAGAAAAAGAAGAAACAAAATAAAAGACGGTCTCTATTCTCTAAGGGCTATAGTTCCCAAAATCACTAAGGTATGATATCCTTAGGGTATGTTTGGATCCTCCAAAAATCATTGGAAAGGAAAAAATGATAACAACAGTTATTCTCTTGTTTTGCTTATTGCTTTTACCTCAGGAAATGCAAAAGAAAATGATATATGGTCAATGTTTTGAAAAAGAAAAAATCATATGCTCATATTTTTTAAATTTATATAATAGAAAGAAAGAAATGATTCTGAACAAATATTGAAAACATATTTCTTGAGATATAACCCACACACACACACACCCATTTTGCTCCCAATACTCAGAATCAAATATTGAAAACATATTTCTTGAGATATAACCAATGTTTCATCCCCCCCCCCTCAACACACACACACACACACACATTTTGGTCCCAATACTTCCCCTAGAAGGCTAGCATTTGTAGAGTTCCAAACGGGTCCCTATTTTTCTCATTGCATATGATGGTTTTGGAATTCATTCAAAGTTTCTCTTGTTCCCACACTCATGATAATTGCTTACAGATGGACATTACTTCAATACTTGGAGATGCTATTGATTACATAGAGGAACTTCAACAGAGCTGGAAGAAACTCGAGAATGAGCTGAATGAAATTGAAGCTGAAGATAATATCAGTCAGGGAAGAGCCAAAACTGTGACCCCTGACCTTAATGGAGGGAAATCAGCTAGTGAACGAACCTCTGAGAAAAGACGGAGTTCATGCAGCTTCGGTTACAAGGCACCTATGAAGGCATCCCCATTTCTATGAAACTTCTCTATCATTAATATTCACGTCTCTTAGAGGGTGTTTGGTTGTTTTCTTTCTGAGGAAAATAAAACCCCCTTTCCCAAGAATCTAAATCTTGCATCACGCCCATAGAATTGAATTTCATGGTTTTCAAGGAAAGGAAGATCAGTTTCTGTGAAAAGTAAAATATTGTGTGGTTGCATGGAGAGGAGGGAGACAAACTCCCTCTTTTAACTTCCCATGGAAACCAAACACGCTCATTATTAACATTAAACTAATATGCATATTTGCATAGGCTGACTGGTCTTGCCTCTTCTCTTAAGGTGCACGTGGAAGTAAACCAGATCGGTTCAAGTGTTTTCTTGCTTAGATTCATTGGAACCCATTGCAGGGGGGAATTCTCAAGAATGATTGAAACTATGGATTCACTGGGACTTCAAGTACTCGAAGCTAACGTTACCACACTCAAAGGAGTGGTGTTAAGCGTTTTCAGAGCCAAGGTCAAAGCCCAAATCAAACATCATTATTTTTTTGAGTGATTTTTTTTAATTAAGAAAAAAATTGATAAAAGGACACCATGAGTTGGCGAAATTGCTACTATATCCTTACATTATTTGATATGTAACCTTACGGAATGAGGGCATCGTGGCAATTTCACAAGGACGATGTACATTTTGTGTAGTTCAGATATTTTTGGTTGAACTTCATTGCTTCTTATACAAGCATTGACATTGCTTTCCTTATGGCAGGCTAAAACAGATGAGGCCTATGATTCACTCAAGCTAAAATATGTGTTGGTTCAGGCGCTCAGCTAACGAACTGAAAAGTCTCGCTGTACAGTAACTGATCTGTGAATCAAAGAACACTTCTCCACTTCAAACCGTGTCGATTGCAAGCCGCGCCTTCAGTCTGGTTTATGACTTGAATGCATATGAGAATGTTAGTGACTTGTCAAAATCTATATACTGCTTTGTAGATTGAGTTATTCTGTTGGTGTTAATGGAAGAACAACCAAATTTGCACCGGGAGCAAGTCGATTGTTTTGACAAGAAATAATACTTGAGTGGTACTTTTCAACATTTTAAAATGTTAAATGGTATTCTTGAAAGAAAATTGACAGTGGCATTTTTGGCAAAAACGAATAGTTGAGTGGCAGTCATATCACTGCACTCCATCATCAATCTATTATCATTAAGCGACATGTTGAGCAATATTTTGAAACTCAAACTGGTCGGTCTGATCGGTCAAATCTTAAATGTATGCATTTTAGTCTTGCTTTTCTAGCATTAAAAACATACGTACTAGTTATTGAGTAAAATTATACTCCCTCCGTTCCAAAAAGATTTACACGTTTCAAAAAAATTGCGTCCCACAATCTCTTACCCATTTCTATTAAAAAACCACTTTTACCCCTTACTTTTTCAAACCCTACCTATCACATCATACCTTTTTTCTAATAATCTACACATCATCCTACTTTTACCCATCACATCAAGGGTATTTTTAGAAAGTCAACACAAAATTATCCCTCTCTTAATTTCAACTTTAGTCAAAATGGGTAACACTTTATGGGACAGAGGGAGTAATTAATATGCTAAATTTAAATTTATGAACATTTGTTTTGAATATTGTTAAAAAATATCTTTGCTATGTTACTCAAAAGAGTTGAATTACATAACGAGAAACTAATTTGTTTAAAGTAGATTTTTTAAAGTGTCTTTTATTATACTCCCTCCGTCCCAAAATATAAGCAATATTACGGTAAACGAAGTAATTTTTTGAATTTTTCAATCCATTTTATTTAAAAAATGGTCTACAAATGAAAAATAAAACTTACATATTTAAAAACTACGTCAAAAGTTCTACAAAACAAGTGGTGACAAGAATATTTTATTCTATCAAATAATCAATGAAAATGCAATAATAAATAAAAATTTCCAGAATTTTTAAATAGTGGAGTGTTGCTTATATTTTGGGACGGGGGAGTATGCACAACAAACAAACAATTCTAGAATGTTATTGTTTTGCTGCGTGACCTCAATTAAATTAAAATATAAAATAGTGTGTTTGTCGTGCATCTAACATACACATTTTTACATTATATGCTATTAAATTAATATATGTCGTGATTACTTTAAACTTTAAAATACATAAACTTTAGTTTTTAACATTTCCAAACAAGTTAAATTGTACTCCGGGGAAAGTGTTGGGACTGTGCGTGCCTCACCCAACCCTTATTAGTGTAATATTGTCGGCTCTGGACCAATCTCTCAGAAAATGGGGTTGGAGTAACCATATAAATATTAGTTTCCTTTCTCTTTTCCAAACGGTGTGGGAGGGGTTTGATACCCAACAAACCTCCCCTCAAACCCAGACCACACAATTATGTGACCTCCCCTCCAGCGATAATCCAAGTCTGATATGTCATCTTCTTGTACCACAGCAACAATCCGCGGGACACGCTGCCCGACAACCCGTCTCTTTTGAGAAGACTTTCGACACAAGGAATTCCTGCAAACCTTTACCACGCACACCTGGAGATCACCCCTTGGTCTAATTTTGCACACCGTTCGGTTGGCACATTGTCCCCATGTTAACTCTGCACAACATAAGACACCATCCACCTGCTCTTGTTGGCACATCGTTCTACTGGGCACTCCTGCACAACATCCAGACCCTCCGCGGATCTCGTAGGTCCTTCTCCATGTTGGCCGATGTCGCTCCAAGAACTCTACACGTGTAGGTCCGCTACTCTGCCCTTCAAACCTCTGCTCTCATTGTTGGGTTCTTTGAGGTTTATTGATTTTGGGTTTTATAGATTAAAATGTATTAGGTGTTGGCATTATCCTTTATGACAAAAACAATTTAGAATTATAGGAGGAGTTAACTTTTATGGGTTGTAGTGTCCTGCCAAGTCATCCCATCTACAACAATTAGTTCGAATAGGAGTCTACTTAGAAGGATCTGAGGAATGAAGATTCCTAAGCACATCCGAAGTTCACTTGGTGAGGCGCGAGCTCTCCATAGAGTCCTACAAACTCCAGAGATGTTATTTGCTGAAGAGTTCAAGACCGATCATGACTAGGGTTCTCATATGTTCGCATATATATATACATGTCCTTACGTCAAGAAAAGGTAGAGACACAACATAATATTCCAGCGTGAGATTGAGAGAGGCTGAACCCTAGTGGCAAAGAGAGATCAGAAGGGAACCATGTTGGGATCCTTCTGATATACAGTGTTATTGTGAGCACAAGGAGCACACGGTTGATTCACAGATCATATCGTGGGTTCATGATTGATTTTGCTAAAATCTGTATCTAGCTGGTGAACTAGGAAGGGCTGGAGAAAGGGCTGATAACACGTCCAATAACAGAAGTTATCAAGGTTGGTGTAATAAGCCATTGGGTGCAACACTAATAGAGCTAAGTGTTTAAATCATCTGTAGTAGATTAGTTCAACACTAACAGATCCACATTTTAATCAATCCCATAAATCAAGCCAATCACCCCTTTAATGCCTTGATCTGTTGGAGCCTATTTTGGCACTATAAAAAGGAGTGTTTGGGTCTGCTTTACTCATCAATTCACTTCAAAATATTCATATTATCATTTCATTCAAACAACATCATTTTCCATAGCTTTTGAGAGCCAATTCGTGTGAAGTTTGAGTTGTTGTTGAGCATATTTAGTTTACTCAATATCTACTCTTAAAGAGAGTCTCATTCTTGAGTGTATTAGTGTTCTAATACACGTTGAGAGAAAGTATTTCTCTTGTTTGATTCGGAGGAAGGGCTGTTTCCTTCAAAGGACTCGTTGAGGTTCGTGTAACTCGAATTCTCAAGTTGTAAGGGTTTGTTAAGCACTGTTAAGCTTAACGAGATATTAGTGTAGCTCGAGAGAGTCTCTCGTCAGGCTAGATTAGCCACAAGTTGTGGTGAACTAGGATAAATTCAGTATGCCTCTTACTCTTCTCTTTACTTCTCCTTTAAATTTTTTATTCCTGCGATTTCTACGATCAAATGTTATTCACCCCCCTCTAGCGTTGGTCATTTATTCTAACACCTAGTTGCTCAAGGATACACACAGATGGAGGGGATTGACTTCAAGGAGACTTTTGCTCCAGTAGCTCAACTTGAATCCATACGCATGCTCATAAGCATGACATGCATATTAGACATGAAATTGTACCAAATGGGTGTCAAGACTGCATTCCTAAATGGATATCTAAAGGAAGAAGTGTACGTGGCACACCCAAAAGGATTTGAAGATTCCAAGCATCCAGATTATGTATACAGACTTCACAAGGCGTTATATGGACTAAAGCAGGCACCTAGAGCATGGTACGAACGATTAACATCCTACATAATTAAAGAAGGATATAAAAGATGAGGAGCAGACAACACCATGTTTTATATATGGTACAACTCAGATCTATTGGTTGCACAAATTTATGTGGATGACATTCTGTTTGGATCCACCTTTAAAGCGAAGGCTGATGAATTTGTGAAAGTAATGGAGAAAGAGTTCGAGATGAGTGTGATAGGTGAATTAACCTTCTTCCTGGGGTTACAGATAAAACAAACTGATGAAGGGATCCTCATATCTCAGACCAAGTATGCGCAGAACATGTTGAAGAAATTTGAGATGAGTGACAGTAAGAGTGCTAGAACACCATGCCCAACACACAAAAAAATCAACAGGGATGACAACGGAAAGGAGATTGACGCTACACGCTAGAACACCATGTCTGGCTTACTGTTTTTATCTTCCTTGTTTGTGTCATTGATTGTGACAGAGAAAGTGCTTCAGCACTTTGTTTGTCTTAGTGTGTCAAGTGTGTCGTGTAGTTTAATCAAATTATTCGTAGAGAGATAATTATCTGTTGTGGTGAGTCTCTACAACAATTTCACTCATACCACTTGTTAGAACCGAGCGTGCCCTCACCTCAACCCCGCATTAGTATGATATTGTCCGCTCAGGACCAAGCCCTCACAGATTTCCTTTTGGGAACCCTCCGCGGATCTCGTAGGTCTTTCTCCATGTCGGCCGATGTCGCATCGAGAACTCCGTACGCGTAGGTCCGCTACTACGCCCTCAGAACCTGGGCTCCGATACCACTTGTTGGGACCTCCCTCACCACATCCCCGCATTAGTATGATATTGTCTGCTTTGGACCAAGCCCTCACATATTTGTTTAGAAAATTTCTCAAAACGCCTCATACTAATAGGATTGAGTAACCATATAAATATTGATTTTCTTTTTCTTTTCCATACGGTGTGGGAGGGGTTTGATATCCAACAGAAAGTGACTATCTAATGTCATAAAATATAAATAAAACTTTATATAAAGAAATTTGGATTAAGCTATTTGTACACCAAAATTTGTACCTAATTTTGTACACCAAAGGCATACACTGACATTTTGTGCTAGTGTGATGATTTATATTGACAAAAAATGTCAATGCAAATTTTTTTAATTAAACTAACATTTTTTTACCCATTTGAACCATTAAAATATCAGTGTATTTTTTTGGATACAGCCAAAGGTACTGGTTGAAAAAACTTACATAAATAACCTCATGAACTAACTCTTCTAGAAAACAACAACATGAAAACAAATCCCGGCCCCGGAGAATGAAGGGAGTATGAGTTTAAACGCATTTGAGTCAAAATTGATCCACTGGTCAACTTGTTCGGCGCCGTCCAGAATTCGTTGTCTCTTCCGTTATGCTGACATTATACGGAAGAACCATGCTACACTTACACCATAAAATATACCTCATTTGTACACTACAGGTTTGCACAAACATTTCGATGGTTTACACCGACACAAGTGTTGGTGCGTTAATA